AAATATATTATATATATATCAGATACATATATATATCTGCTAGCACATTCTCATCTGTATTTTTCTATTTACACAATCTCTTGCAGAGTTTTGTGTTTGGCAATTGGATCTAGTTTTAACTTTCACCCTCCTGAAACTATATTTGTCTACGGTCTGTACCTCTTGCTAGTCACAAGGAAGAATTACTTTTCAGGCAATTTTTAGATCCCCTCTATCCTCCTGCTGCAATTTAGTTATATCTTAACAGGAGCTTCTGTCTGACATCTCTGGGACTGGGCTCCTCTAGCAGGGGAAATATCAGGATTGATCTTCCCTTCCCTTTATAATCAGCCAGAGAAAAAAATAACATGATTTTTAAGAAATATTGCAAGACGTTTTCTTCTAGGTTACCCTGTTACGTTAAGACCAAGAATGCATGGATTAGGATCTCAAGTTTATAAAGAGCCTGATTAAAAAAAAAATAAAAAAAATATTAATCCCTTCTTCCCTTATCTGCTTACCACCTTCACTACATTTCACATTTATCATCCTGCAATATGAAATCATTTTACCAAAATTTTTCTTTTTCCTGATGCTATTTTCCTGTGTACAGATTCCACTCTTTTCCATCACTTTTTTTAACCATTTTTCCTCTTTCCCTCTAAGCTGAAAATGTTGTACAAGTACCTTCACCCAGAAACTGTTTTTTTGTTTGTTTGTTTTGTTTTCTTTTGTTTTGGGTGTGGGAACGATCTCTGAATGCTTCCTTATTCAATTTTATTGATATATCAACTTAAAGAATAGTGTTAGCCTGTTGATCTTGCTGTTTGTGTAGACTAGCAATTTAATTCATAACTGCTGTTACAACCTCCACCTACTAATTGATTACACTTTATCGCAGAAGCTCCCAGGAGTGTTTCCTGTGGTGTGTAATGTTGACGTTTGTTTCCCGTAGGATACTGACCTGGGTCCAAGGAATAAGCATGACCTAAAATCTCTAGACTATCTCCTGTGCTGTGATTTATGGAGACCTTTGATAGGAAGATTGCAGACATCAAAACTTCTTTTGGAGCCTTCCTTTGCCGTTACCTCTCCACCCCACAGCTGTGAAATCCTGGGCAAAGTCACACAGCAGATCAGATGCTGGTTCATTGCAGCCAGCAGCAGAATATTTTGGGCAAGTGTATATCCCACCAAGTCAGCTGCTAATATTTGCTGTTGCCTTTCAGTGAAGCAGGGAGGCATGAGATATTCTGACTAAGACCCCAACTTGCACACATTCCCACTACAGCTTAATTTGGCTGCATTGCAACATCTGTGTTGTGCTGTGTCCAGTATCTCTCTGTGCTTTCAAGGCCAAACTCATCTATCATCACAGGCAGCAGTTTGGAGCATGGCACTGCTGCTGCTGGTCCTAACTAAATGACAAAAAGAAGAGAAAAAAAAAAAATCTCTTCAACATTTTAAAAGCTGCCCAATAGCTGAGGCTACCACTCTAGGCAAAAGTGGACAGAGTTACACTTCCCACAGAAGAGGTGCATACCCTTGAAATTTAATAAAAAGAGTGAATGACACACCATAATTTTCATTCCAAGCACCAAATGAAGGTGACATTACACAATAAGAGTAAATCTCCCACTCCGCTTATACCAGGCCAGTATCCAAAGACATTTCTACCATAACTTTGAAACCAAATAGCAATTGGTGAAATACAACCTGCGTGCTGTTGTCAAAAACAAGTGCAAGTATTGTAGTTAATGCTTGGCAGTAGGCCTAGGAGCCAAAGTTCACCAGAGGGGCCCTGTGGGGGATTCCCACATGCTCTATATAAATCTCTGCTTCCCTCCTCCCATCGGCTGAGGCTCACAACATGGTTGGGAGTAGCCTGAGAAGTATCCCACAGGCTTCCAGCCGCAAGTGCACATCACAGTGCAAAATAAAATAAAATCATTACAGGCATCATATGTGTGTGCACACAGAAGAGCAATGGACAGTTCATCTTTTGATGTAATCTGATGATCTTGATCTGATAATCTTCGACCAACCATTGAGACCACTTGGTTCTTACTAGACTCTTGTATCTGATAATCGTGGCCTGATCATTTTGGCTCTCAACTGGCCTGGCACATGCTATGAATCCTCCCCTCAGTAATACAGTTCATGACCTCACAGTTCAAAGCCAATCCACAGCATTTGCTCTAGGGAACTATACAGTCTTATTTTAAATGGTCAGAGTGATGCAGGATTTACATTATCTACTACTTATGTGTCCCAAAGGTCAAGTATTAAAAAATAAATAATAATTTTTTAAAAAGTCTTATAATAGATTTGAAGTGTTCAGCTCCAAACCTTGTTATATACCTTTGTCTACTAGACTGAATATCCCTGTAATATCAGACACCTTCTCCTCACAACAGTAATTATAGAACATGATTGAATCATTTCTTAAGCTCTTTTACAAGTGAAACAAATAGATCCCTTCTAATCTCTCATAGTAAGCATGTTTTCCAGGCCACAAACCATCATGGCAGGAGTCAAGAGTCAACTGAAGTCAGTGGAGCTACAGCAGTACTCACTCACTTGGGATCTGACCCCTCAAATGCCAACATGAATATTTACAAAACTAGAATGTGTCTAGGTATGTAACTAGAGTGTGTACTAGAGTTACATACCTTTTATTCTGGTCACAGAAAGTATTCATAGTGTTGACTGCCTGCACTCTCATCAAATATAGTATATTCATATACATACTCAAACTCACAGGATACCTGTAAATGCACCACTAAGCAAAACTCAATATAGTTATCTAATAGAAAATTCTGGCATTTGAGATTCTTATTTTATACCAGCTCAATAGACGAAATACATTTAAAAAACAACAACAACAACAAAAATCTTTTTACCTTAAAAATGACAGAATGTTGAATAAACATAACAATACAGAGGTTTCACAAGTATCTACATACACATTGAGTGTACAAACAAAACTGACATATGGACTGCTACATATATATAAATCACAAGTAAAAACACACAGATTCTGAATGCATGCAGTCAGAAAACCTAAATTTTAGATGACTATTCTAAACAGATATCTCTTTCAAAGAGCCTCCTCATGTAGAGGAGATGAATCTTAGGACAGTATAAGTTGTTTGCTTCAAAGTTTCTCTTTACTTTCTAGGACGTGCTTAAATAGTTGATTTAGACTAAAGGTTTTTGTGGCTAAAATATACATTCTGCACAACAGCATTGTAGAAGCACATAAACATTTAGTTATTCTACTACAGATGAATGCAAGTACAAAATATGAGTAGAAAATATTGCTAATAGAAACACGTACCCTGATACCTACCCTGCAAACAGAAACAAGGACCCTTTTAACCAGCTCCCAGAATTTAATATATGTCCTGCTGTTTTCTCCATGTCTTTATTCAAACCTCAGCTCTTATAGCCAAATGATCACTGTAGAATCAGAAATCTACTTTTACAATGAAAACGTTGCTCTTCTGTCATCAAAGTTGTAAAGATCAGATTGAAAACATGAATCTGACAAGCTAAGAGAAAAAAAAAAAAAAAAAAAAAAAAAAAAAAAGAGAAAGAGAGAGAGAGAATGAGGAAAAAAGAAACAAAAATCTATTATTTTCCCCAATCTTATGACTTACTTGTCTTGCTCCGTTATTTTTAACACTGTTGGCAACACTGCAACAAGCTCCTACACATTAAAAACACATTCAGAAGCAAAACCTAAAAACATAAATACATGGAGATATTACTGGCATAAACTCAACATATGTGTGCGTATCTTACTGCCACTGTGCAAATGTGGATATCCAAACCATACAGATGAGGGTACATTCTGCAAAATGTATATAACACCTGCAAATACTCAACACGCATCCTGCACAATACGGTCACACTACCACAATTATGCACACACAAATATTGCAAACCCACATACCTGCAGTTTTGGAAGCATGGAATGGTCTGACTTTCTGAGGAGATGAAATGAAAATATTTTCATTTGTAATTGATACTTTGAAAGTAAATGAAAATTTTGTTTTAGTTCAAATTAAAATGTCAATTTTTGGTTAGAAAAATAAATGAAATGCTTTTATGTCAAAATAGCAATTTTAAATGACAGATTTCCTTGGGTTTCAATCTAAATTGTTGTTTTGTTTTGAAAAGAAGAAAAAACATTTAACGCAGAAGGAAAACAAAAATGAGCATTGTGTTTCAACAGGCCAACCCAAGACAAAAATACTACTTGGAGAAAATGAAAACCGACTGGAGAAATTGCAATGAAAAATCTTCATTCAAGATTTCTCTTGGGAACCTTTACTTTCTAGACAGTGGTAATGCATACACACAATTCCCTTCTTCTTCCAGGTACGTGCATCATCTGCAAAAGTGTGTCGTCCAGGCACTCTCCGGGCACTTCACATGCACGCTCATGGGCACTTTGTGTTTGTGCTTTCTACATGTGTACAAGCATCAAACACACATTGGCGGGCAGCAGGCACACACATGTGGACTCCGTTAAGAAACCCACGAAATAAAGACAATTTTAGATCAAGTGAGCTGTGGTCCCCTGGCTCAGCTTCTACTGCAGGTGATTCTATAAACAAAGTTTAGTGCCAATGTGAAAGAACAAATACACTATAAATAGTTCATGGCTTCCAAACCCCCTTGTCTCGTTCCAGCCCTCATTCTAACCCAAGCCAGCAGATGGGCTGAGAGCACTTCAAACTGACTCCTTGAAATAAAATACTGGAAATAAAGGGGAACAGCATGAAGGCAGTAAAACAAAATAGGAAAAGGAGGGGGGGGGGAAGGTTTTAATTTACTGGGGAGAGCACTGGGAATGTAAAAAAAGCAGGAGTGGAAGGAAGAAAGGGGACATCATCCTGCCTGATTGCAATTGTCATTAACTTGCAGCAGGGTATTAAATTGCAGCATGGGTGCAAGTGCATGCGGCCCACCTCCAACCCAAACCTCCTCGGCATCTGATTCTTCCCCAAGCCAAGCAATTTAATGCCCTGGTCCATGAGGTTTATTTACTGCCTTTTGCTGCTTTTAATTGAACCCAGGGGCCTTCACACCCGTACAGGTCAGTGGCAAAGCATTTGTTACCTGTGCCGGGCAGCACACCAGAGGCACGGAGAGGGAGGGGACTGGCCATTAAAACACAAAAGCAACAGTTGGGGTCTGTGCGGTGGGACGTGGCTTGCTGTAGGCTCTGATTAGTTTTATGGAGCAGGAGGCTGCGCTGACATCTGGAGGGAGTTTGCGAGGAGCTGAGACAACACGGGGCTGATGCAGTAGGCTTTGCCTGTAATGGGCATTTGCACACACACAGAGGTGTTAGAAGAACTTGAGAAAATCCCCAAATTCTCCAGTGGAGATTAAGTGCCCTAAACACAGTTAAGCAGGCAATTGGTTTAACTACAGCCTTTATAGCTGTTGAATGTCAAATAATGACAATTGCTATGCACTTATGAGTAAGAAAACAAGACCCTTTAGGTATTTACCCACAAAAGAAACCAGGGATTGTGGCAGCTAAACAAGGTGAGCCAGCATTACCATTAGATTATCAAAATTCAACCTACTAAGATTAAGTAAAACTGGAGTTATACATAATTCAGTATTCCCATGTGCTGAATTCTAGTCTAATGGCTGGAAAAATCTCAACAGGAGAAATGAAGTGGCCACAATAGCGTGGCAATTGGTGGACCTCCAGGAGGGGTCACTACAATATGAAAACATAGAGAATTTTAGGGTATACACACAGCAGACAGTGCCATGAGGAGACAGCAAACCAGGTTCTGTATGAGCACAGTATTAGACACAGAGGCATCCGCTATGCGGAAAGACACCGTCTGGGACAGATATAGCTTTGGAAATCTTTTTTTTTTTTTTTCGGGAAATGTGCTATGGAAAGAGCAGCATGGCTGAGAGCACAGCTT